CAAAAGTTATCAAGCTTTAATTAAGTGATATTTTTTAAAGTGATATATTTTTAATTTTGGTATAATCATTTGCATATATTAGCTTAATAATATGGAATCAAAAGTAATTTAATATAAGTTCAAATGTGTCATTGTTATCTGATATTCGGACCAAAAATTGTGTTTGCATTTTTTGAGAAATAAAGATAAGAAGAAGAAACTATTGTACTATTTTGTCTTATTTTTTTTACAACTGAATTGCATTGAATTAAAATAATTGATATTCAAACTTAAAAAATATGAATGAACTGAAAATACAATAATCGAAATTCTGTTTGTGCTATTTTGCTGTATGTTAAGTCTGCGAGTGAATTTGAGTACTCGTTTATTTGATTCCTTTCTTCTTCTATCTGCTCCATTTTACATGCAAACTTTTCTATCTTATAGAATGAAACCTATTTTCGATCATCAAATGAACCTTTTATAAATATTTTTAATTCAAAGATTACATCAGAATGAATCAGTTCAGTACTTATTTTAAAGTGTAATATAAAAGTAGCAGTGAACTGATTTATTAGAAAATTAATGTTTTATTTATTGTTTTTACTATTTCATGCGATCTCATATAAATATTTTTAGATTTTCATTATTTTTTCTTCTTTTTTGTTTTTATTATTAAAAATTTTTACTTCACTTTCAGGTATATTATTAGCACAAATATCAAAATAATTATGAGATTCACTAAACACTACTAAATGCAGTTAAAATATTATTCAATTTTATTTAATAAATTAAGCATACTTTTTTGTTATTATTTGATATTAACCTAACATATTTGATGTAATGAATAATTATTCAGTATTACTGTGTACAATAAAATATTGTTAGTTAGGATCATTTGATACAGTTGACATTAATTATTTAATATTATTCGATACAGATAGCTGGAACCAATTTTTTTAGTCTGTCGCATAATTATATATTAAATTTATAATATTTATAAAATTTTCTGATTATAGAATTTATTTGTAAGAGCATAAAGTCCGAATTGTTAACTAAATTTCTTGCTTTTCTTTCCTTTATTTTTCTAAACTTTTATTTTTGATCAAAAACGTATATTTGAATTATTTTAAATACTTAAAAGAAGTGATCTAATAACTTGATTATGTATACGAAAACAGATTATTAATTATTCCGTTCATAAAATATTTTGTATTTTTCACTTTTCAAAAATTTATTGCAATTTTATTTAAAATAAAATAAATGTATGGAAAATGAAAATTCATTAAACTTATTTAGATATATTTTGAAATTTAATTCTGAGTTTTGAATTGTGTAACTTATCTCTTTTGACTTAAAATTTACTTTAGACAAATTTTTTAAAATTTAGGAAAAATATGTGATAAATTTATTCAACAACACAATGCCTCTTCGTTGGAAAAAATTTTTAATGGTAAATATCGAAATTTTTTATTTATCATCATAAAATCGAAGTCTAAAATATGCAAAAATATTGTACTCAACGTCAAATATTCAATCAGAAAGTTTAAAGACGCATTCGAAATTTAGTATCTAATTTAAAATTTCTGAATCCTTCATCCATTTGCTTATAAAAAGTAATTCTTGTCATTTTCAAAACTTTTAAGTGATTTATCGAAGTAAAAGTTTTTTACAATAATTGTTGATTAGAAATTGTTAGTCTGAAAAACTGAAAATATTTTAAAGTATTTCCTAAAAAAATTATATTTTATTTCCAAAAAAATATAATTTTTTAGCTCATTGGTGCAAATATTGGTCTCATCTATTTGGTACATTTTCCCAGAAGTCAAATTCCTACAACCAATTTATCTGATTTATCTGGTCTGTACCGTTTACAACCTTGTGCAAATTAATGATTAATTCTGCAGTTTGATCTATTTTGATAATAGTTAAATTTTTATTGTAAAGTTTTCCTTTAATTATATTAAAATTATTTTATCTCACTATATTTTTCATTGATAATTGTATAAATTCATCGTGAATGATTAATATCAATTTTGTATTTGACTTAGACTATTTTGCTTATCACTTCCTTGATTTGTAAAAGTTTTTTGTAGTCGATCAGCTGGAAGAGACATTATTACTCGAGAATACTTGCAAGTTACCTATTATTGAACCAAATGAACCAAATTTAAACGGATATATTCAACAGTTTAGGTAAGTTTTCAGTGTTATTTCAGTGTTATATTAATGTTATTGAAGGATAACAATGATAACAGGAATGAAGAATAGCAATGATAAGAGTGATAAAGTGGGTGGAAATAAGTAAATATGAATTTTAGGCTTGAAAATTGCAATTTTTGTAATTAGAAACTTGACAGTAATTGAAAAATTAAGATCTATCCAGTGCAATAGCCAAATGCCAAATATAGTTTCAATGGACGAAGAATTTCTGATTTTGCATAATCCATTGGGAATTTGGGAAAGAGCAGCTCGAGTTCCTAGCCATAAGTAATACCTTTTTTCGCTTCATTACAAAACTTTTAAATAAATTACATTATATATATATATATATATATATA